AACACACTGCCTACCCAAACTATCACAAACTGATGCTGAAAATCTGAACAGACCCATAAGAGCAAAGATTGAAAAGGTAATTAAAAAAAAAAAAACTCCCAACAAAAAAAAGCCCTGGCCCAGATGGCTTCAATGGAAAATTCTACCAAACATTCAGAGAAGAGCTTACACCAGTACTACTCAAATTAGTTCAGAACACAGAAAAGGAAGGGATACTTTCAAATTCATTCTATGAAGCCAGCATAACCCTGATACCAAAACCAGACAAAGATACCACAAAAAAAGAAAATTACAGCCCAATATCTCTCATGAATATAGGTGTAAAAATTCTCAACAAAATTCTAGCCAAGAGAATTCAGCACCATATCAAAAAAATAATACACCACAACCTAGTGGGATTCATAACAGATATGCAAGGATGGTTCAACGTTAGAAAATCAGTCAACATAATCCACCACATAAATAAAAGAATCACATGGTCATCTCAATCAACACAGAAAAGGCATTTGACAAAGTCCAACACCCATTCCTGATAAAAAACTCTCAATAAAATAGGTATAGAAGGGAAATTCTTCAACCTAATAAAGGGCATCTATACAAAACCAACAGCCAACATCATCCTTAATGAAAAGAAGCTGAAAACATTCCCCTTGAGAACAGGAACAATAGAAGGATGTCCTTATCACCACTCCTATTTAACATTGTGCTGGAAGTCCTAGCTAGAGCAATAAGGCAAGAAAAAGAATTAAGAGCATCCAAACTGGTAATGAAGAAGTAAAACTGTCCCTAATTGCAGACGATATGATACTATACTTAGAAAACCCAAAAGACTCCATGAGAAAATTCCTGGAACTAACAGAAAGATTAAGCAGAGTAGCAGGATTCAAGATAAGCATACAAAAATCAGTTGGATTCCTAAACACCAACAAAAAAACAATGAAAATGAGATCAGGAAAGCAATACTATTTACAATACCCCTAAAAAAATAAAATACTTAGGAATAAATCTAACTAGGGATGTAAAAGACCTATACAAAGAAAACTACAAAACACTACTGCAAGAAACCCAAAGGGATCTACATAAATGGAAAAACATACCATGCTCATGGATAGGTAGACTCAACATTGTGAAAATGACAATTCTACCCAAAGCAATCTACAAACAATACAATTCTGATCTAAACACCAACAACATTCTTTAAACAGATGAAAAAAACAATCATTAACTTTATATGGAAAGGGAAGAGGCCCCAGAGAAGTAAAGCATTATTGAAGAAAAAGAATAAAGTAGGAAGACTCACACTACCTGACCTCAGAACCTACTATACGGCTACAGTAGTCAAAACAGCCTGGTACTGCTAAAATGACAGATACATTGACCAATGGAACAGAATCAAGAACCCAGATGTAAATCCATCCACCTACAGTCACCTGATCTTCAACAAGGGCCCAAAGTCCATCAAATGGGGAAAAGACAGTCTTTTTAACAAATGGTGCTGGCAAAATTGGATGTCCATCTGCAAAAAAATTAAACAAGACCCATACCTCACACCATATGCAAAAACTAATTCAAAATGGATTAAAGACCCAAATATAAAACCAAAAACTGTAAAGATCATAGAAGAAAAAATAGGATCAACGCTAGAGATTCTAATACACGGCATTAACAGGATACAAACCATAACTACTAACAACATACAAACTCCAGAAGATATGCTAGATAACTGGGATCTTCTAAAAGTTAAATACTCATGCTCATCAAAAGACTTCTCCAAAAGAATAAAAAGAGAACCTAAAGACTAGGAAAAAAATTTTTGGCTATTACAAATTCAACAAAGGTCTAAGCTCTAAAATCTACAGGAAAAGCCAACAGCTCTACAACAAAAAGACAAATAATCCAATTAAAAAACGGGCAAAGGAAATGAACAGACACTTCACCAAAGAAGACATTCAAGCAGCTAACAGACACATGAGGAAATGCTCGTGATCACTAGCCATTAGAGAAATGCAAATTAAAACCACAATGAGATACCATCTCACCCCAACATTACTAGCATGAATCAAAAAAACAGAAAATAATAAATGTTGGAGAGGCTGTGGGGAGACTGAACTCTTATGCACTGCTGATGGGAACGCAAAATGGTACAACCATTTTGGAAAACGATATGGCACTTCCTTAGAAAGCTAGAAACAGAAATACCATATGATCCAGCAATCCCACTCCTAGGAATATATCCTAAAGAAATAAAAGCCATCACAAGAATAGACATATGCACACCCATGTTCATTGCAGCATTGCTCACAACAGCAAGAAGACGGAAACAACCTAGATGCCCATCAACAGATAAATGGATAAACGAACTATGGTACATACACACAATGAAGTAGTACACAACGATAAAGAACAACGATGAATCTGCGAAACATTTCACAACATGAATGAATCTGGAGGACATTATGCTGAATGAAATAAGTCAATCACAAAAGGAAAATATTGGATGAGACCACTACTGTAAAAACTCATGAAAAGGTTTACACACAAAAGGAAACAATCTTTGAATGGTTACGAGGGAGGGGAGGGGAGGGGGTGGAAAAACACTAAATAGACAATAGATAAGTGGTAACTTTTGTGAAAGGTAAGACAGTACACAATACTGGGGAAGCCGGAACAACTTGTTCAGGGGAAGGTCATGGAAGCTCTGTGGACAAATCCAAACTCCCTGAGGGACTGAATTACTGGGCTGAGCGCTATGGGGACCATGGCTCAGGGAACATCTAGCTCAATTAACATAACATAGTTTATAAAGAAAATGTTTTATATTCTACTTTGGTGAGTAGCGTCTGGGGTCCTAACAGCCTGTGAGTGGCCATCTAACATACTCCACTGGTCTCACCCTTTCAGGAGCAATGGAAAATAAAGAAAACTAAAGACACAAGGGAAAGATTAGTCCAAAAGACTAAAACACCACAACCACCTTGGCCTCCACCAGACTGAGTCCAGTTCAACTAGATGGTGCCCGGCTACCACCACTGACTGCTCTGACAGGAATCACAATAGAAGGTCCTGGACAGAGCTGGAGAAAAATGTAGAACAAAATTCTAACTCACAAAAAAAGAACAAACTTACTGGCCTAACGGAGACTGGAGAAACCCCAAGAATATGGCCCCTGGACACCCTTTTAGCTCAGTAATGAAGTCACTCTGGAGGTTCACCTTTTTGTCGAAGATTAGACAGGCCGATAGGACAAAATGAGACTAAAGGGGCACACCAGCCCAAGGGCAAGGACTAGAAGGCAGGAACGGATAGGAAAGCTGGTAGTAGGAAACCCAAGGTCAAGAAGGGAGAGTACTGACATGTCATAGGGTTGTTAACCAATGTAATAAAACTATGTGTACTAACTGTTTAATGAGAAGCTAGTTTGTTCTGTAAACCTTCATCTAAAATACAATAAAAAAAAAAAGAAATAAACTAAGAAAAAAAAACTTACACCTGAGGGGATAAAATATAGGCATGTAAAAAAAGAAAAAGAAAAAAATCTTATTTGTTTTCTAGGATGTCTAAGTACCATTAAAAGGAGTCCTTACCCCAGGAGTCCATGGGTGGGACAAACAGTGAAAACACTCAGCTGCTGATCAAAAGGTTGGAAGTTTGAGATTACCCACAGATGACTCAGAAGAAAGGTTTGAAAATGTGTTTTCAAAAAACAGCCATTGAAAATCCTTTGGTGCACAGTTCTAATCTGACACACATGGAATCATCATGAGTCAGAATCAACTTGATAGCGACTGGTTTTTCAAGAAGAAAATTATCATAAGAAGTTTTTAGGACTTTCTAACTCCTAAAAATCTAACTAAGCCCCTTACGGAAATTACTCTGTGTCTATTTCATCTAAAGTAGATAATGTATCCTTTGACTAGATGAAAAAATGGTGTAGCAGAGGAATCTGACTTCCTTTAACTTCACAAGGCAGAAGGAGAATCAAGGTCAGCATCAACAGCCCAAAGCTGATTCCTCTGAGGCAGAAGTCGGACATACCTCCTCTCTCCAACCTTTTACCAGCCGTTCCTCCCATGGCACTCACTACTTCTCTGCTGTGTTTGATAATTCGTTGCAATGGCCACACAGAACTCACAGACAATACTCATGATTACAGGGTTTATTGGGAAAGTAACAGGATACAATTCAGGACCAGGAACGACTCAAGATAGTTTTTCTATTAGGACAGCCTCTTCTCAGTCATGCCTGTAGGCAGCTCTCTTTGGCCCTTGGCCTCTTGGTCTAGCCTCTGCCCTGCTCCGGCAAGTGTTACAAATCTTTTTAGCTCCGCCAATAACTGCCCAGGGGAACCTCACTCCATCAGCAAGCCTCCTGCTCAAAGGCACTTAGCTCTCTCATTCTATGGGTTGGTGAGCCTAGGTCTGCCAAGTGCCCAGAGCCACCTCACTCCACCAGTAAGCCTCCTGCCCAGAGGTGCTCAGCTTTCTCACTCCACCACGCCATCTCCTACCCATCTGCTAGTTCTGCTGCCTCACTTTCTTTGTCACCGCTTCTCGCCATCTTGAGCGACCTCCAGAGTTACAGCGCTCTCTCTGCGTCTCCTGGTTCTAAGAGTTTCTCAGCGCAGGGACCCTGGATCCAAAGGATGCACTCCGCTCCTGTCTTTTCTTCTGGGTTGTATTTAGGTCCCTATCTCTGCCTGCTTCTCTCTCCTTTTATCTCCTCTAAGATAAAAAGTGTGACTCAAGTAAGGGCATGACTTCAATAAAGGTGGTAAGGATGCTGACTGGGGTAAGGGTGGTGACTTGAGTCACAACCTGTAAGAGGTGATGACTCAAAATATATGCCACCTTAATCCTGTCTCATTAACATAATGAAAAACTCAACCCCAAATGGGACCATAACCACAGGCACAGAGGCTAGGATTTACAACACATCGGAAAATAGAGGATAATTACATCAAATCACAAAATGTAGGACAACCACACCAGACCACAAAATGGAGGATGACTACACCATTACATAACTGACAAATTACATCATTACATAACTGTCAAACCACTGAAAATCATAGCCCAGCCAAGTTGACAAATAATCTTAAAATCACCAGTTCCATACCTCTTATTTGCATTAGCAGCAAGTTGTCCAATCCCGTTGGTGAGCCACAAGCACCTTATTTGTATAGTCCCACAGAATCATTGTGTGGGAGTCACAAAGACTATGGGTAGAGGGGCCATATTAAGTAATTCACTGCACTACACTAGATTAGCTGAAGAGTAACATTTTCTGCAACATAAAGTAAGACATAATTGATCCCCGAAGGCACCACCACATTCACTGGATTAATAAGGTTTCTCTCCGGTACAAACTCTCTGTTATTTCCTGAGGGTTCACATCTGGCAACAGGCTGTCCCACAATGACTATATTCCTATTTGTTAGGAGTCCACTGGTGTTTAATGAAGACTGAGATGCCACAGAAGGCATTTGCAGAGTCACTGTACTAACAGGGTTTTTATCCTGTGTTAGATCACTGGTATGTGATGAGCTGTGACTCGCTGCAGAAGGGTCTTCCACATTGACTGAATCTACATATTTCTCTCCTGTGTGTATTAATTTATGGTTAAAATGATCAAGCATGGAGGCAAAATTTTTTCCACACACACTGCAGACATAGGGTCTCTTTTTTGTATGAATTCTTTCATGGAAATTTAGTTGTTGCTTTTGGTTGAAGGCTTTCCCACATTCACTGCACTGAAAGTATTTCTTTACTTTATGCGTGTTCTGATGTCTAGTGAGCCATGATTTCTTGAGAAAGACTGTGCCACAGTCTATGCATGCATAGGACAATTGCCTATGAGTTCGATGATGAACAAAGAGACTTAACTTTCGGATGAAACATTTTCCACATTCACTGCATATATAGGGCCTCTCTCCTGTATGAAAAAATTAAAGAAAAAAAATTAAAATAAGTCCATGAGAGCCAAAGTACAATGCTGAGTATATCCCACCTGAATTTAGAGACCATCTAAAGAACAGATTGGAAGCACTGAACACTAATGACAAAGACCAGACATCAAGGACATCATACATCAAAAAAAGCAAAAGCTTATTAAAAAGACAGTATAGAAAGAAAAGACCAAAATGGATGTCAGAAGAGACTCTGAAACTTGCTCTTGAACAGACAGTAGCTGAAGCAAACGGAAGAAATGATGAAGTAAAAGAGTTGAACAGAATATTTCAAAGGGCAGCTTGAGAAGACAAAGTGTTATAATAAAATGTTCAAAGACTGGATATGGAAAACCAAAAGGGAAGAACGCACTTGGCATTTCTCAAGCTGAAAGAAAAGAAGAAAAAATTCAAGCCTCGAGTTGCAATACTGAAGGATTCTATGGGCAAAATACTGAACGATGCAGGAAGCATCAAAAGAAGATGGAAGGAATACACAGTTATTGTGCCAAAAAGAATTTCTTGACGTTCAGCCACGTCAGGAGGTAACATATGATTAAGACCCGCTGGTACTGAAGGAAGAAGTTCAAGCCGCACTGAACACACTGGCAAAAACAAAACTACAGGAATTGACAGAGTACCAATCCAGATGATTCAACAAACTGATGCAACCCTGGAAGCGCTCACTCATCTATGCCAAGAAATCTGGAAGACAGCTACCTGGCTAACCAACTGGAAGAGATCCATTCATGTGCCCAATCCAAAGAAACGTGATCCAACAGAATGCAGAAATTATCAAACAGTATCACTGATATCACACTCAAGTAACATTCAGCTGAAGAGCATTCAAAAATGGTTGTAGTAGTACATTGACAGGGAACTGCCAGAAATTCAAGCCAGATCCTGAAGTAGATGTGGAAAGAGGGATATCATTGTTGATGTCAGATAGATCATGGCTAAGGAGAGAATACCAGAAAAATATTTACTTGTGTTGTACTGACTATGCAAGGACATTCCACTATAAGGATATTAATAAATTATGGATAACACTGTGAAGAATGGGAATTCCAGAACACTTGTGATCATGAGGAAACTATAAATAGATCAAGAGGTAGTGCTTTGAATAGAATGAGGGGAGACTCCTTGGTTTAAAAATCAGGAAAGGTGTGTGTCAACTTTCTATCCTTTCACCATATTCAATCTGTATGCTGAGCAAATAATCTGAGAAGCTGGACTATATGAATAATGGGGCATCAGGACTGGAGGAAGACTCATTAACAACCTGTGACATGCAGATGACACAACCTTGCTTGCTGAAAGCAAAAATGACTTGAAACACATACTGATAAAGATCAAAGACCAGTCTTCAGTATGGATTGCACTTCAACATAAAGAAAAAAAAAATCCTCGCAACTGGACCAATAAGCAACATCATGATAAACGGAGAAAAGACTGAAGTTGTCAAGAATTTCATTTTACTTGGATCCACGATCAACATCCATGGAAGCAGGAGTCTAGCAATCAAGTGACATGTTGCACTGGGAAAATCTGCTGCAAGAGACCTATTTACTATTTAAATTGTTTAAAAGCAAAGATGTCACTTTGAGGACGAAGGTACACTTGACCTAAGCCATAGTATTTTCAATCACCTCATATGCAGTGAAACCTGGATAATGAATAAGGAAGACTGAAGACCTGATGCCTTAGAATTATGGTACTGGTGAAGAATATTGAATATACCATGGACTGCCAGAAGAACCAACAAATCTGACTTGGAAGAAGTACAGCCAGAATGTTCCTTAGAAGCGAGGATGGTGAGGCTTCATCTCAGTACCTTGGACATGTTATAAGGAGAGACCAATCCCTGGAAAAGGATATCATGGTTAGTAGAGGGTCAGCGAAAAAGAGGAAGACCTTCAATGAGATGGGATGACACAGTGGCTGCAACAGTGAGCTCAAACATAACCGTGAGGATGGCGCAGGACTGGGCAGTGTTTTGTTCTGTTGTAGACAGGGTTTTCTGAGTCAGAACCGACTTGACAGCATCTGACAACAAGAACAACTCCTGTATGAATATTTTTATGTAAAAGTAGTTGTTTCTTTCAGTTGAAGGCTTTCCCACATTCACTGCATTGAAATTATTTCTTTATGCGTTTTCTGATGTCTAGTGAGCCATGATTTCTTGATGAAGACTGTGCCAGTCTGTGCATGCACAGGATGACTATGAGTTCACTGATGAACAATGAGACTTAATTCGTGGCTGAAGCATTTTCCACATTCACTACATATAAAGGGTTTCTCTCTTGTATGAGTTTTCTGAGACACAATGAGCCCTGATTTTGTAACAAATGCTCTGCCACTTTCTTTGCATTCATAAGGTTTTTCTCCTGTGTGAGCTTTCCGATGGTTAGTGATCATGTACTTTTTAGAGAACACTTCGCCACATAGACTGCATCTATGGGGGTTTCTTCCTATATGAATCATCTGAGATTCACAAGCACAGAATTCCAGAAGGCGGCTTTCCCACATTCACAACATATATGCAGTTTTTCTATCTTGTCAGTTTTATGGTGTTCAGTCAGTTGGTACTTCATGTTGTTGGTTTTTTGACTCTCATGGTATTTAAATTCAGTATGAAATTGCTCATGTTGGCATGAAGAAAGATTTCCTCCTCTCCATTAAACTTAGCAGAGTTCTTTATTTTACATCTTCTGCTCTGATTAATGTTAAAATCGATTTCAGTTTTTCACATAAGTCAAATATACTACGACCTTGCCTTAAAGCACAATGACTTTAGTGCTGATGAATAATAGTTTCAAATGCATTATCTTCATAGCTTTGTTCTATTCTATTCACCCTGCTTTCATTTGGCATGTGCCCCAACAGACGATCATTAATTTTCTGGATTTCTAGAAAAGAAGAGAACAATGAATCCTTCCATCATCTTGATTTGAAATAAAGCTATTTTTAAAAATGCTTTGATGTGAAGTGGCTCTTTAGTGACAGTCCTATGATATGAGTATAAATAAAACTTCATGTTTAATGTTCCTTGCACACTGGTTAAAACCACAATATAAACAACCCAAAAGGTAAAAGCAGTTAGTGTAGAAAAAAGTTGAGATAGTACATAAGGAATAAATATGTATTTGGCTGTTCCTCAATAAGATCTTGCAAAACATACAGAAACTGTAAAATACAAGCAAGTCACTCCAAGCAGCAGACCACAGACGTTGGAGGGCCACTTGATCCAATCTGGGGAAGAACAGATTCATTCCACAAATCCTCACTGAATCACAACTATGTACCAGACATGGTGCTGGTGTTGGGGACACACACACACATTCCTCATGTTTATGGAGCTGTGGTGAGATGACTTCCTTGATGTGGCCTTTTGCCTTGGTTCTTTGGAAAAACAGCTTGAGAGATTTTCCCCCTAAGCCCTGAGGAGTTACCTTTGCCCTAGTTTTCTACTCCAGAGGGTTTGTTACTTTTTTCCAGGTTGACTGACATTTCCTAGTTAAGCTGTAAAGAACTTGTGGTTTCATAGTTTTTGTTTGGCTCTGGGCTACAGACTGCCCTGTGATTGGTAGATACTTCGCAGGGATTGGTCAATAGACTATGCAAATGAGGTGTCTGTGGCCTACCAAGAGGGGATTAGTCAGCTCATGGCCATGCCTTGAAACTGATAAGGAGTTTGCTTATATATGCAGCCAACCCCACAGTGGCAGGCAGACAGAAGCAGAATGAAGAAAGAAAAGAGAAGAGAAAAGCAGAGAGAGAGGATGCTAGGATCCTTCTAAAAGAGCTGAAACGGGTTGAGTGCTGTAACACTGAAGATACTGAGAGGCCTGGAAGGGGCCCTGTGGCAGAGCCAGTGGCGACAGGCCCACAAATGGCCCTGCAGCAGTCGGTGGTGACAGCAGAAATCTGTTACTAGGAATGCAGTTAACAGAGTTGAACAAAACTTCTACACCGGTATCAGCTGGGTCATGTAACAATGGAGAGGGCAACGTCAGGGAGGCCAAAGACAGCCTAGGCCAAAGGCCTAATTCTTGCTTGGTAATCCTGTTCCTAACATGTGCCTTTTCTTCATTCTGTAGACCACCATCAAACCAACTTTCTCAAAACACTAATTCCACATTTACTGGAAACTTCCTGTAGTTAACATTCCTACAGGAAGAGGAAAACAATATTCCTTAGGGAATATTACAACAGGACAAAGGAGCACATAATCTCTAGAAGCAGACAAGTTGCCACACTGGTTGTGGGGTCTGTCACCTTTCTCCTCATGCTGTACCTGCACTAGTTAAGAAATCATCATACAGAGACCTGTAAAGCAGAGGGATCTGACATAGGTAGAATTCAAAATAATGACAAGATGAGTAGAATTTAAGATATACAGTGGTAAAACCTAAACATATAGAATTGCCTGGGAAAGAATATGGTAATAGTTCCCTGGGGATATTGGGATATTAGTTTTGTCAAGATAAGCAAAATACATAGAATTAAAGTCTACTTGCAGTCCCTGGGTGATGCAAACAGTTAACATCCTTGGCTGCTAAACAAAAGTTAGAGGCTAAAGTCTACAAAAAGGCACTTCAGAAGAAATGCCTGGCAATCTACTTCCAAAAAATCAACCACTGAAAATTCTATGCAGCACAGTTTTCCTGACACACATGAGATCACCATGGGTTGCAGTCAACTCAATGGCAACTGGTTAAAGTCTACGTTAGACAATATCAAGGGAGGTGTCAAATGGCAGTCTCCTAGGGAACAGAAGGAGCTTAATTCATTAGAATGAAGGAAACTTTAAAGGTTATGACAACATATGAGAAAAGGGAGAACAAACTTTTGGAGACCGTCAGAGAAAGAGAAAACAGAAGCTAAGGAAGCAGATAAAAGCACAATGAGAGACCAGTTTACTGAGCGCACACAACATTTAAGATGGGGTTGGATGTTAGGATGTGAAATCAGTATTACCTAATGGGGGAGGAAGGTGCTTTACTCAGTAGACTATTATGAACTCAAAGTTTTCTCTTTGAAAGGTGGAATTTCAAAGGCAAGTGGAAGGACATGAAGAAGGGAAAGATTTTAGAATCCTGGAAAGAAGAGAACTATACGAACAAAAATATCAAGATGTAGAACAAATAAACAAGGATCTGATCTCAGAAGAGGCAAAGGGGTATATTTCTCTCTGAACTCAACAACAACAAAAAAAAGAGGTTCCACATAGGAGAGGGATACGTGTTGGGGAGGGATATGTGGTGGCACTGTTATGAATCCTCAGACACCCTCCACAGCTGTGACACCTTCTCTCACTAGAATGTGACTCCACAGCCTTCCCCCCTTGAAGGTTTTCATTTGCTCACCTGAAAAGGTTCGAGTATGGATTTTGTCTTCTATACTCCATGGTGGTTCTCCTCGTTCCAACCTGGATAGTGCATCTGGCTTACTAACTTGATACCCTGTTCATGGGAAATGACAGAGACTTAGACAACACCAAATGTGACTTGGGTTTGTGGGGACTGCACAATGTTATATTTGGGACAAAATAATTTCCATACATACACAGTAAAGGACATTTTCACAGGAGAGGGAGTATATACCCACTTATCTAGGGTCAGAGTTTAAACTGAGAATCTACCACTTCAGAGCACCAGAGACACTTCAAAACCTTTAATGGTTGAGAAAAGAAAGGTCACTGACTGGGCACCCCAAGTGACACGGGGAAGCTGTCCTCACCTACAGACACCAGATTGCTATAGTTCTCCAACATCACGTCCCGGTACAGGTCCTTCTGAGCAGGGTCCAGGAGCTGCCACTCCTCCCAGGTCAACTTCACAGCCACATCATCGAATGTAAGTGATACCTGTTACAACAGGGTCCTGTTTAGTGAAGTGATATACTTTTGATGATATAAATGAAACGTGAAGGCCATTGTTCTGCTCATTTTCTCTATACAGGCTGCATCTACATACTTAATGTTGTTTTTAAAAATATCTTATAAAAAAAGAAAACTCATAAGAAAACATTCTGTAATTGTGCATTCAATCATCCATCCATTCATCAAATGAGATGTTTGCATAATGTGGAGCAACTAAATCCTCTTGATAACCAAGGAACATCTCACATTCACATATATTCATACATACACACACGTGTGTGTGTAGATGTACATATATGTGTGTATATAAACACGTGTGTGTTAGCGCATGTATGTGCTTGCGTATTTGGCCACCTATCCGCTAAGTGATAAACATAATGCAAGTGACATCTGAGGGAATAAAACATGTTACTACATTAAACATGAGTCTTCACAACCAATATCAGAATCTACAGTGAAGAGACTTGACGTGTCAGTAGCAAGGAAGAACAAATGAAAAAGATTGCTGCCACATGGACATCACTAAGGATCCAAGAAAGAGCAGCTGAAAGAGACAAGGATATTTCCCCCACAGCAGAGAAAGTCTTCCCCTACAATTGGCACCCTGAATTTGAACTTTTTAGCCTCTTTAACTGTGAGAAAATAAATTTGTTGGTTAAATTATATATTTCTGTTCGTTAAATACCCACAGCAGCACTAGGAAACTAAGATCACATATACGCTTCACCAGGTTTTCTGCAATAGTAACATACTGCGTAACTGTAGTACAATATACTAATCAGCAAACTGACATTGATACAATCAGTCTACCTTATTTAGATTTACCAGCTTACATGACCTCTTTGTGTGCGTGTTTAGTTAGCTCTACACAGCGTTATCCCATACATAGGCTCTTGTGATTGCCATGTAGAACACAGTGATGGGTACACAAGAGGGCAAATGTGATTAATGTCACTGAATTGTACACTTAAAATACATTGAAACAGCAAAGTTTTGTGATGTGTATTTTACCACAATTAAAAGAAAGAAATTAAACCGTTCCATCACAAGGATGCTTCACAGTACCTTTATAGCCTGAGAAACTTCCCTCCCTTTCCTCCTAACTTACCCTTGGAACTCATTAATCCACTTATCCCAAAAGGTTACACGCTGTATGATTACGTTTATATAACATTCTTGACATGACAAAATTATAGAGATGGAGAATGTATTTTTTAAAGTCAAGGTCAACCTCTAAACATAAAAAGACCTTATACGTACGATTACGTTCCTTTAAATTTGTTCAGATTAAATACTTGGTTCCCTCCCAAACCCTGCTGGTGACAAATGTGCTTTATTTTTTTCCAGTATGACTATGAACTCATGGAAATGCTCTTCAGTTATACAGTAATTTGTCTTTAGATGCTGTTACAGATTGAATTGTGTCCTTCAAAAATGTGTGTCAGCTTGGGTAAGCATGATTCCCAGCATTGTGTGGTTGCTCACTATTTTGTGATCTGATGTGATTATCGTATGTGTTGTAAATTCTAACTTCTATGATGTTAACGAGGCAGGATTCAATCTACAGGATTAGATTGTATCTTGAGTCAATCTCTTTTGATATATAAAAGAGAGAATTGAGCAGAGAGAGATAGGGACCTCCTACCACCAAGAATGAAGAACCAGGAGGGGAGCACATCCTTTGGACCCAAGGTCCCATTGCTGAGAAGCTCCTAGACCAGGGGAAGACTGATGACAAGGACCTTCCCCCAGAGCCAGTAAAGAGTGAAAGCATTCCCCTAGAGCTGGCACTCTGAATTTGGACTTTTAGCCTCCTAGATTGTGAGAGAATAAATTTCTCTTTGTTAAAGCCATCCACTTGTATTTCTGTTACAGCAGCACTAGATAACTAAGATAGTCTCTTCAAGTTGGCCTCTATGGTCTTTGTAATATGATGCCATTCATGTGAAAATATGGTAATAGATGTATGTGTTTCTGTATATATGCATATTTATGCATATGTATACGTATGTATAAATTATATACACACACATCATGCAGGAACTAATATACACGTATACATCATGCAGGAAGTAATCACTACCAGTCATTTAAAAAAGGAGATCAGAAAAGATGTGTAGGAAGAGAACCTATTTTCTGGTATGTGTACTTTGTTATGATTTGAGACTTTTACCATTAAAATGTATCCAGGAGTAATTTGTGTACTTAAAAAATAATAATAAAGGCAATAAAAGCCAGGTACACGTAGATTTGAACATGGGGAAAGACTGCATTTTCCAAGATGAGACGAAGTTCTAAAGTAAATCTTATACTTTCCAAGAATCCAAGCCATTACCAGACAAGAGTACTTTCAACTTCCTGCTTCCAAGTCTGTATTCAAACATGGGTTCGTTGAGAAGTGTTTGAAAGTTGTGCAATGCTTCCATTTTCCTAGGATGTTTACATTTCATTCCTGGATAAACACAGACCACCACAAGGCTGAGTCTACAGATTAACTTGCGTTTGTCTCCTGTGTCCACTGAGTTTACCTGGTCTAATCCTACAGGGGTCTATGAGGAACCCTGGAAGACACAGCCATAGGAAACCAGCTTTTGCATTTATGAGAATGCTGCTGTTCAGGACATCATCCACCGCATCACCTCTAGGAAAAACCATCAAAGAAACTTACTAAGACTAAAATCCCATGAAATACTGAAATCCCCCAAGAAATTGATCTTCTTTCTCCTTAAATCAGTGCTTATCATATAAATGGAGCCCTGGTGGCACAGTGGTTAAGAGCCCAGCTGCTTACCAAAAGATCAGCAGTTCAAATTCATCAGCTGCTCCTTGGAAACCCCATGGGGCAGTTCTACTCTGTCTTATTGGGTTGCTATGAGTCGGAATCAACTCAATGGCAACAGGTTTGTCTTTTTTTTTAATCATGTAAATTATAATGATTTTCTTTTTTGTTGGGTGAGACAATTATTATATGTAAGCTGATAGTTACTGCAATCCTCAGAATCCACCCGTCACACATTATATTTCAACATCAGTAATCTGATGTTAATCCTATGAACAATATGCTGGATCCTGCTTTGCTTGTTGTTGAAGTCAGAGTCTAAGTTTATTTCTCTCCAGCTCCTACATTTCCAAATATACACTTTCCAGATTAACTAAACTGATGTTTTACAGGTGTCTACAAATCTATTATGGAATAAAGGAAAGCATAAAACAAAGCAAAAGTCACCTGTGTCTTCATTATCTTCTTTTGTTTTCGGGAAATGACCAGCAACTGGGATGCTGTCCTTTGTGTCTTCTGGATCAGGTCTAAATTTCTGCTCAGATGTATCAGCCTCTGGTGAAGAGTGTCCCCAGAAATGACAATTCCCAAATCCTGGAACTTCCTTCTTCCTTCAATTGATTGTTTTGCTGCTGGGAAGTCAGGGTCTATAGGCTGAAGGGAAAATTCAATTTGAATGGTACACTCCCTCTGGGTAGGGATGCTGTCACTGATCTTTGTACTCACATTAACACAATGCCCCCAATACTGCTGACTATCCCTTTATTTGGTGACTCAGAACATTTTCTATACCTGGGCAATAAAGTAAGATACAGAATTTGCAAAGACATGGGTAAAAGACATGCTCTACTCCCATCTCTTCTTCTTGGTGGTAGTCAAGTTCCCCCTTTCTGCCTCTGGGATGGCTCATTTTAAGCCCAGTAGGATGGCAAAACTAACCAATCCCTTTATTAGCAAAAAATGGTGCTTGGACAATTGGATATACAGGTGAAGAAAAAATAATGTTGATCCCTACCTCACAACATACACAAAAATCAATATAGGGTTAACTGTATTTCTCAATGAGAAAGGTAAGTCAATAAGGCTTTAAGATGATAAGATGACATTATGGTACTGTAAAAATGGTGTAGCAGAGGCATCTGACCTCCTCTAACTTCACAAAGGGGAAGGAGAATCAAGATCAACAGCCCAAGACTGATCCCTGTGAGGTGGAGATCAGACATACCTCTCTCTCCAACCTTTCTGACACCAGCTGTCCCTCCCACAGCACTCTCTACTTCTCTTTTGGGCTCTGTAATTCACCGCAATGGCCACACAGAAGTCACAGATGATACTCATGATTATGGGGTTTATTAAGTAAGTAACAGGTTACAATTCAGGATCAGAAATGACTCAGGATACAGTTCTTCAATCAGGACAGCCTCTTCTAAGATGTACTCACAGGCAGGTGTCTCTCTGTCCCCCGGCCCGTCAGGCGTCTTGGGCTGACCTGGACTCTACCCTGCTTGGACAGGTTTTACAAAGCTCTTCAGTTCCACTGATAAGTGCTCACAGACAGCCCACTATGCCAGTAAGCCTTGTTCCAAAGGTGCTCAGCTCTCTAGCTCTGTGGGTCGGGAAGCCTAGCTCTGCCGACAACTGCCCAGAGGCAAGCATTCCACCAGCAAGCTTCCTACCTGAAGGTGCTCCTCTCTTTTGCTTCGTAGGTTGGCAAGCCTAGCTTTACCAAGTGGCCAGAGAGACCCCACTCCAGCAGCAAGCCTCCTGCCCAAAGGTGCTCAGCTTTCTTGCTCCATGGCTGGGAAACCAACTACACCATCTCTTGCCAGTCTCCTGGTTCTGCTGCCTCTGCTGCTGCTGTTTCCCTGCCACTGCTTCTTGCCTTCTCCAGGGTTACAGCTCTCTTTGTCTTCTGGGTCTATGAGGCTTTCAGCAAAGCGGTCCCGGGCCCAAAGGACATGCTCTACTCCCATCTCTTCTTCTTGGTGGTAGTCAAGTTCCCCCTTTCTGCCTCTGGGATGGCTCATTTTAAGCCCAGCAGGATGGCAAAACTAACCAATCCCTTTATTAGGAATCCATACACCTTATTTGCATGGTCCCATCCCCAGACAGGTGCCATACACCTTATCTGCATTATTAGCAAGCTATCCAATTCCCTTGATGGGCCACAAGCACCTTATTTGCATACTGCCACCCAATCATTTGGTGGGAATTATAAGACCATGAAGAGAAATGCCATATAAAAGTGATCCATTGCACTACTGGTATGGAAACATATTTTAAACAGGCCACATAAAGTACTAACTATACAGTGAAGGATATTCTGTTGGTAGAACTGCAAAGTGGTACAACCACTTTAGAAAACACTTACATATCATCTATTAGATTGATGATATACATACCCTTCAAATTAACAATTTAAGTCTGAGGTATCTCTCTAGCTATATATCCACCCAAATTAAGTGTACATTTGAACAAGACATGTAAAATTTTTATAGCAGCATTATTCATAACAGCTCAAACATCAAACAGCCCAAATGTACTATGATAGGAAAAACTGCTATAAAGTGTATTCAAACAATGGAATGCTATAGAGCAAATACATCCTTTGAAAGGGAAGAATGTTTTTTAACATTTCCAAAGGATTATAAAACTAAATAACCAAACAAAAACAGAGAATCATATGAGAGACCTCACGTGGCCTGCAAAGCCTAAAATATTTACAAAGTACTCATTTGCTGAATAAGTTTGCTAATTCCTGTTACAAAGCAAAGTGAGTTCTAACAACATGAATGACTCTCACAAACATAACAGTGAGCAAAGTAATCCTGAGCCCTCCAAAATAAATCTATGATACACAAATTTCATTTATTTTCAGTTGAAAATAGACAAAATTAAATAAATTATGATTCACTAAATGGTAAAACTATAATAAACAAAAGGCTGGAAGTGCTTCGTATGAAGACCAGGATGGTAATTACCTTTGGGTGTGAGGTTTGGGTATGATTGGGATCATTGGGTGCTGGCAATGTTCTATTTCTTTGCCTAAGCAATGGATGCTTCCTTGTATATTGTCCCTTAATAATTGACTTGTACTTTTTTTTTTTTTTTTGGTTTAAGTTTTTTTGTCTGTGTATTTTAGGTGAAAGTTTATAGGGCAAATTTCTTTCTCATTCAAAAATTTATACACAAATTGTTTTGTGCCATTGGTTGCGATCCCCGCCAAGTGTCAGCATTCTCCCCCTTTCCCTTTACACCTCAAGTTTCCTGTATTCATTTGTCCAGGTTTCCTGTCCCGTCCTGCCTGCTCGTCTTTGCTTTGGGCAGGTGTTGCCCATTAGGACTCCTATACTTTATTGAATGAAGAAGCACATTCCTCATACGTGTTATTATCTAATCTTTAACTGAAAGGTGGACTTTGGGAGTGGTTTCAGTTCTGAGTTAGCAGGGTGTCCGGGGGCCATGGTTTTGCGGGCGCCTCCAGTCTGTTAGACCAGTAAGTCTGGTCATTTTCTGTGAATTTGAATTTTGTTCTTTATTTTTCTCCCGCTCTGTCTAGAACCCTCTATTGTGATCCCTGTCAGAGCAGTCAATGGTGGTAGCTGGGCACAGTCTATTTCTTCTGGGCTCAGGCTGGCAGTGGCTGTGTTTCATGTGATCCATTAGTCCTGTGGACTGATAGTTTCCTTGCATCTCTGGTTTTCTTCATTCACCTTTGCTCCAAACATGATGGGACCAATAGATGTATTTTATATGGCTGCTCGAAAGCTTTTAAGACAGACGCTACTCACCAAAGCAACATGTAGAACATTTTCTTTATGAACTATGTTATGCCAATTGACCTAGATGTCCCCAGAGACCATGGTCCCCAAGCCTCAGTCCCAGTAATTCAGTCCCTCAATATATTTGGATGTATCTAGGAAGCTTCTATGGCTTTGCCTTGGTCAAGTTGTATTGTATATTGTCTTCTCTTTCACCAAAGTTGACACTTGTCTATCTAGTTAGTGATTTTCTCTCCCCACTCTTCCCCTCCCTCGTAAAAGCAAATATTGTTTTTTTCTGTGTGTAAACGTTTTGTTGAGTTTTATAATGGTCTCATACAATATTTTTCCTTTTGTGATTGACTTATTTCACTCAAAATAATGCCCTCCAGATTCATCCATGTAGTCAGATGTTTTGCAGATTCATCATTGTTCTTTATCGTTGCATAATATTCCATTGTGTTTGTCTGTATGTACCATAGTTTAGCCATTCATCTGCTGATGGGCACTTAGGTTGTTTCCATCTGTTTGCTATTGTGAATAATGCTTCAGTGACCATGGGTGTGCATATGTCTATTTGTGTGATGGCTCTTATTTCTCTAGGATATATTTCCAGGAATGGAATTGCTGGATCATTTGGTATTTCTATTTCTAGCTTTTTTAAGGAGGTGCCGTATCATTTTCCATAGTGGCTGTACTATTTTACATTCCCACCAGCAGTGTATAAGAGTTCCCATCTCCCTGCAACCTCTCCAACATTTGCTATTTTCTGTTTGTTTTTTTTTTCATTCATGCCAGTAATGTCAGGTGAGATATCTCATTGCAGTTTTGATCTGCATTTCTCTAATGGCTAATGATCGCAAGCACTTCCTCATGTGTCTGTTAGCTGCCTGAATGTCTTCTTTAGTGAAATGTCTGTTCATATCCTTTGCTCATTTTTAAACTGGATTATTTGTTTGCTTGTTTTTATTGAGGTGTTGAGGTATTCTATAGATTTTAGAGACTAGAACCTTGTGAGATATGTCGTAGCCAAATTTTTTTCCCCAGTCTGCAGGTTCTCTTTTTACTCTTTTGGTGAAGCCTTTTGATGAGCATAAGTATTTAATTTTTAGGAGATCCCAGTTATCTAGTTTATCTTCTGGTGTTTGTGCATTTTTATGGTTTGTATCCTATTTATGCCATATATTAGGGCCCTTAGCATTGTCTCTATTTTTTCTTCCATAATCTTTATAGTTTTAGGTTTCATATTTAGGTCTTTGATCTATTTTAAATTAGTTTTTGTGTATGGTATGAGGTATGGTTCCTGTGTAATTTTTTTATAGCTGGACATCCAGTTTTGCCAGCACCATCTGTTAAGAGTCACTCTTTTCCCCATTTAGTGGACTTTGGGCCTTTATCAAAGATGAGCTGACCACAGGTGGATGGATTTATGTCTGGATTCTCAATTCTGTTCCACTGGTCTATGTGTCTGTCATTATACCAGTACCAGACTGTTTTGACTACCGTGGCTGTATAGCAGGTTCTAAGATCAGGTAGTGTGAGGCCTCCTACCTTATTCTTCTTCTTCAATAATGCATTACTAATCTGGGGCCTCTTTCCTTTCCATATAAAATCCGTGATTAGTTTTTCTATCTCATTAAAGAATGCTGTTGGTATCTGGATTAGAACTGCATTATGGCTGTAGATCACTTTGGGTAGGATTGACATTTTTACAATGCTGAGTCTTCCTATCCATCAGCATGGTACGTTTTTCCATTTATGTAGTTCTCTTTGGTTTCTTGCAGTAGTGTTTTGTAGTTTTCTTTATATGGGTTTATTACGTCCCTGGTTAGATTTATTCCTAAGTATTTCATTTTATTAGGTGCTACTATAAACAGTATAGTTATCCTGATTTTCTTTTCAAAGTCGTCTTTTTTGGTGTATAGGAATCTAACTGATTTTTATATGTTGATCTTGTATCTTGCTACTCTGCTGAATCTTTCTATTAGTTCCAGTAATTTTCCTGTGGAATCTTTAGGATTCTCTACATATAGTATCATATCGTCTGCAAATAGGGAGAGTTTTACTTCTTCCTTACCAATTTGGATACCCTTTCTTTCTTTTTCTTGCCTTATTGATCTAGCTAGGACTTCCAGCACAATGTTAAATAGGTGATAAAGGGCATCCTTGTATTATTCCTCTTCTCAGGGGGAATACTTTCAGCCTCTCTCTATTGAGAATGAGGTTGGCTGCCATCAAGTTGATTCCGATTCATAGCAACCCTATAGGACAGAGTAGAACTGCCTCACAGGGCTTCCAAGGAGCAGCTGGTGGATTTGAACTGCCAACCTTTTGGTTAGCAGCCAAACACTTAACCACTGCACCGTAGATGCCTTTTATTTTGTTGAGTAATTTTCCTTCTACTCCAATTTATTGAGAGTATTAGGAATGGGTGTTGGACTTTATCAAATGCCATTTCTGCATCGATTGAGATGATCGTGCGATTCTTTTCTTTTTTTCTGTTTATGTGGTGGATTACATTGATTGATTTTCTAATGTTAAACCATTCGTGCATACCTGGGATGAATCTCACTTGTCTGCGGTGTTTATTATATTTTTGATATGATGCTGAATTCTATTGGCTAGAATTTTGTTGAGAATTTTTGAATCTATATTTAAGAGACAGAAGGCAAGCATGTCCTTTGGACACAGGATCCCTCGCCGAGAACCTCTTTGACCCAAGAGACAGAGAGAAAAAGCTGTAACACCAGAGATGATGCGAGATAGTGAAAAGCAGTGGCACCAAAACAAGGAGATGGCGTGATAAGCTTCCAAGTCCACGGAGCAAGAAAGCTGAATGCCTGTGGGCAGGAGGCTTCCTGGAGGAGTAGGAGCCCCCAGACCCTTGGCGGAGCTAGTTTTGCCGAACTACAGAGCTACAGCTGAGCGCCTTTTTGCCAAGGCTTACTGGTGGAGTCGGGTGCCTCTGGGCACCTACTGGGAGAGATGAAAGAGCTTTCTAACACTTGCTCGAGGAGGTAAGAGTCCAGGCGGAGGGGCCAAGGGTCAGTGAGATACTTGCCTGTGGCATAGCTCAGAAAAGGCCATCCTGATTGAAGAACTGTACCCTGAGCATTCCTGAACCTGAACTGTAACCGGTTACTTCCCTAATAAACCCCATAACTGTGAGTATCGTCTATGAGTTCTGTGTGGTCAATGCAATGAATTATTGAGCCCAACAGAGAAGTAGAAAGTGCTGTGGGAGGCAACACTGCTGTCAAAATTAGTAAAAAGGTTGGCGGGTAGAGAGATGTCTGAACACCGCCTCATAGGAATCAGCGTTAGGCTGTTGATCTTACTTCTCCTTTCCCCTTGTGAAGTTAAAGGAGGTGAGACACTGCCCCCACGCCATGTTTATACTTGGTGTCAGAACCTGGATTGTTGCAATGGCTCCACACTCATGGAAGCATGGGACTTAGGAAGAGAAAGAACAAAAGGGCTTAGGAAGTAAAAGTTTTGAATCTTAGATGGTTACTTTGGTTGTTTTTATCTGTAATGGCTGAAAGAAAAGTAAGAGATGTTATGCTGCAGCTGAGGGGAGAAAACCCACATCTGGAATGGCTTGGGGTGTAATGAATTACTTAATATAGGCCTTCCAGCCATAGTCTTTATGACTTACATATAATGATTGAGTAAGACTATGCAAATAAGATATATGGAACCTGTGATGGCTGGAGTTATGTGCCAATTTGGCTACGTCATGATTTCCAGTATTGTATGGTTGTCCTACATTTTGTGATCTGATGTAATTATTCTAATTATCCTCCGTTTTATGTCTTTTAAATCCTAACTTCTATGTTAATGTGGGAGGATTAGTGTAGGGTGCATCTTAAGTCACAGCCTTGCAGGACGCCATGACTCAAGTCCAACCCTTATTCAAGTTACACCCTTTGCTGGGGTGTGGCCTGCATAAAAGGTATATATGTGGGTGCTCTGGCAGGGCTCTCTCTCTCCCTGCACCTGTATCCTACATCATTCTCTGACCTCTGGTTCTTGGAACTTGAGCTAGTGGCCTGCCATCTAACCTGCTGATTCTGGGATTCACCAGTTTCTGCAGTCCCATGGGCCAGCAGTCTTATCATCTGACCTGATTTGCCATATTCCACAACCTTGTGAGCCAGTAGTCTGTCATCTGGTCTGTCGATTTGGGCTCGTTGGCCCTGGCGGCCACATGAGTTACGAGAAGCCTACGCCTCTCCCGTGGATTTGGGACTTGCCAACCTCCACAACTGCATGAGTCATTTCCTTGATACAGTTCGAGTTCTGTGAGACATTACAGTGAATTATGGACCCGAGGGACAGGAGGAGAGTGCTCAGGGGAGGAGGAGGAGTTGATGTTAGAAATGATGAAGTGGTAGCGTACTGAAAAAGTTGGACATTTGGGACATTTTTAATCTTGGCCTCATAGGAAACAGCTTTGTGCCAATCCTCATAAAAGAAATTATTAATCATTGGTAGGGGGCCACGGTCTACTGGTTCCACCCAGTTAGAGGCCCGAGGCCATACGCATATGAATGGGAAAATAGTCAAGGGTTAGAGAAGATAAAACTGCAGTGTTATTTAAAAAGGTCATGTGTTTATTGAATGCACTATGGATACAGAATGTTTCTCTTACCTAGTGTAAAGCAGACCAAAATGTACGATAGAAATGAATACTGGATATTATTGATTACACAGAGCGTGTAACTCCGCCTTCAACCAATACTTGATTGGATATGCTAAAAGGGGAACTAGGATTTGCCCAAAGGAAACAAAGGCTGTTTGAATGCAGTAGCTCTGTGTTCAAGTATTGTGGTCTTGGGTCAAAAACCTGAGCTCCACCCAAAACCTTCATAGTCAGGAAATTTGCATTTGATAAGACATTCAGACTCACCTAAAACTGCTGAAAGAACAGGAGACTTGCATTTGAAGGAAGGACCTGCAAAAAAACAAAAAATGACTGTTCTGGTTTTTAAATTTTGAGCAAGCAGTTTGTGTCTGGGTGCACCTAAGCAGGAAAAGTCAGTGCCCATCAGCGGGAACCTTCTTCCAGGATGGCAGTTAAAGGCAGCCGGCGAGTAGACAGCCTAGTCTGCTCACTTGAGGTCACCATCCGGGTCCACTCAAAGAGTGAAAGTGGGGAAAGCACAGCAAGGAAGAGATGGGCTAATTTTGGACATGTTCCACTGGCACCCATTGACCTAGCCCACAGAGACTTGGGATGAGAGAGAGAGAAATGGCAGCTGGTCAGACGTGCAGGGAGTTGTGTGGACTCCTAAGTTTATGGGTGGTGCCCGCTGACCTAACCCACGAGAGTTAGGGATAAGAGAGAGAGAGAGAAGGGTCTAGCTAGTCTGAAGTGCCTGGAGGAGTGTGTGAACTTCCGAGCTTACAGCTGGTACCCACTATGACCTGCTTGGATGGCTAGGGATGAGCTGACCAGAACCCAAATGAATGAAGAGGAAGATGTCTGATACCATGAGCTGGCATAAATTTCAGCAATTTGATGGTTTGCTCTGGAATGGACCAGACTGGACTTTGCTTATGGATGCAGGTGTTCAAAGTGCCAAGCAAAACAGAAGATTCTAACTCCCTGAGGGACTGAATTGCTGGGTGGAGGGCTGTGGGGACCATGGTCTCAGGGATCATCTAGCTCAGTTGGAATAACACAGTTTATAAAGACGATGTTCTACAATCTACCTTGGTGAGTACCATCTGGGGTCTTAAAAGCCTGTGAGGAGCCATCTAAGATACTCCACTGGTCTCACCCCTTCAGGAGCAAGAGAGAATGAAGAGAACAAGATACAATGAAAAGATCAGTCCAAAGGACTAATGGACCACAGCTACCAAGGCCTCTACCGACTGAGTCCAGTACATCTAGATGGTACCTGGCTACCACCACTAACTCCTCTGACCGGGATCACAATAGAGGGTCCTGGACAGAGCTGGAAAAGGATGTAGAACAGAATTCTAACTCACAAAAACAGACCAGATTTACTGGCCTGACAGACTGGAGAAACCCCGAGAGTATGGCCTCCGGACACCCTTTTAGCCCAGTGGTGAAGC